GGGGAGGGGGGCACAGCCATCAGCCCCTGGCAGCCCCCGGCCCTCCCGGGGCAGCCCGAGACCCCCACTCACCCACGTACAGCACCCGCTTGGTGCTCGCCATCTTCCCTGCCCGCCCGGAACTGCGCGAAGGCTCCGCCCGCCCTTCCGCGGGGCGGCCCCGGGACCGGCACGGACAGAGGGACACAGCCTGGACCCCCGGGACCGGCCCTGACCCCCCGGGACACAGCCCGGACTGGGGGACGCGGCTCCGACCCCCCAGGACACAGCCCGGACCCCCGTCTGCACGGGGGAAGGGACAGAAAGTGCTGCCAGGGGGCTCAGCTCCTCCTGCAGCTTCGTCTTCACAGGGAATCTTGGTTATTTTACAAGGAAAATAGCCCACACATCCCCCTTCCTGCTTTCCTGGGAGGGTTTATCCAGCAGTCTCCAGTGTTTTCCAAGCCCAAATTTAAGCTCAGCTCTCCTGGCACAGGCACGTTCAGCTCGAGGTGTCCTCACCAGCTCTTTCCTTCAGCAGCAGGAGGGATCCTAGTTCAGGTAAGTCACTCTTTTTATCCCCCAGGGGCATCATGTATCAAGCCCCTCCTACCAAAACGCAGCCACCTCGAGGGTGCAAAATAGCAAAGGAGCCATGAAAGGGGAAAATGTGGCTGAAGAATGTTGAAATGTACACAGAGCAGAAAAGCTTTTCTCCTGTAGGGGGTGAAAAAGGAGCCAAACCCACCTGTGCTTCACTTGACAAACACCCCCAAACCCTTCCATCACTTAGATCCATCCCTCATTCAGACACCAACCAAACCCAAGATCATCTGTCTGTGGCATAAATTTAACACAACTGCCTCAAAACAGTCATTGGCCAAGATTAAGAGGCAGAATAACTCCATTAAACCACCATTTTAATGTATCAATCATTCAATAACTGCCTGCCAGTTTCACTTCACTAAGCCACATCACATGAACTTAGCAAATCTCAAGAACTAAACAACACACAGTGAAAGGTTTTTATTCCTTTATTGATAAATGCTTTCCAGACTTTCCAAACTGGATTGTTCAGTTAAAACCAAAACCACAAAATACTTTCAACCTAAAATCCTCCATGTCCCCCCTTTAGGAGACACAAAGGGTAGCTCTGTTCTGACCTCAAAGGAAAAGCTTGCAAGCCCAATTCTGGTTTTGGAGATCTAGAGCTTCAGAGTTGGCTTTTTAAATAAGATCTTCAAGATTAATTTACAAAATGCAATATAACTATGTGATATGATGCATGGCATTGAGATCTGCAGGACAGTGAAGAATCTTGAAACATCTTGAGCTGATGTCTATGAAGGGGCTATTTGGCTTCTTTGCATCCTAAAGGAAAAGAGGAAGAGCTTGTTACTCACACTCCAGGATTTCCAGCATTACAAACCATCAGGATTCTAATAATCTACAGTAATTCCAATAATCTACAGAGGCTGTTGTGGAAAAACAGCCATTTCTGATCCTCTGACAAGAAATTCAGTGGAAAAGCCACTAGAACCACTGAGAAATATATGGATGGAAAATGTTCTCTCTTCATCATTCTTTGCCATTTTGAGCTGCAACCATAACAGCTTCACAAACAAGGACTGAACATGTTCATGGCAATTCCAGACAACTCACAGAAAACCTGATCATCAGAAACCAGAAGAGGAATTAAAAGAATCAAAAACCTTATTCAGAAGTTGAGTAAGGGAACAGGATTTGCTTGGACTGACCTATGCAATGACATTCCTGACACCAGCACTTTAATATACACCATAGGCAGATGACTGTCAGGATACTGAATGGCCATTAACAGCCTAATTAGCCTCAAAGTCATTACATTACAGAACATGTGCCTCATTTTATTTCCCAGCTTAGCAGTTTCACAGGTCCCATCAAAATACATTATTCCTTCCTTGACATGTGAAGTACTAGGATCACTTCAGGGATTTGTGCAACTTCTTTCTGATGCTCAGTTTAAATAAGATTTCTGAAGAATATTTCCAGAAGCTTCTACAATAAGGAGAGGCTACATAAGAGGGGTTTTGTTTGGTTTGTTTCTTACAGTGGTCTAAAAGCAAGTCCTGCACACAGAGCCACCCAGGCCTGCTGGCTGGCTGCCCTCACTAATCACCCTGCTTCATTTACTCTGATTTTGGAAGCTTTTAAGTGAAGCCAAAGTCTGAGACACTCACCAGTCTTCCTGGTTTAAGAGGTAGCAGCAACCACACCCACCTTCTGGGCAGCTTCTTTCTTGGCTTGGTGAGCCTGCAATACTGCCACGGCCTCCTCCACCTCGGGGAAAAGTTCTCCAGTGAGACCTGCTCTCTTGACCAAAGGCTCCCACCATCCACCCCACCTGAAGGAACAGGCCAGTTTACCTTGGAGCGGAGGGACTCAGGAGATTCCAGCATGTGCAGCAGCTCAGAGTTGTCAATCTCCAGCAGCATTCCTGTGATCTTCCCTGCAAGGCTGGGGTGCATAGCTTGAATCAGAGGGAACAAACGTTCTCCTGGGGGGGCAGAAAAAAGGGGAGTTCAGACAGCTGAGTTTCAATTAAAAGGTCCTATTTGGAGCCTGAGGGGATTTCCCAAGTCAAGTGCAATCTGTAGAACTGGAGTCTCACTTACCCAGCATCTGTTTCTGCTCCTGGGGAGGGGCAGCAGCCAGCATGGAAGCTGTGAGTGGCTCCTGTCCCTGCACATGTACTGCAGGCTGAGGTGCCTAAGGAAGGGAAGACACAAGGGTTCTGAAATCTACTAGGTAGAGTATCTACTAGGCTGCTTGCTTCCCATTTAGAGACAACAATGAGATACTCCCTCCTTCCAAAACACAATCTTTATCAAGCCTACAGCAGACAGATAAGGTACCCCTGGATCACAAACATGCTTCCTCCAAGTCCTGCACTCAAAATCCTCTAATGTCACACATGGGCACAGTAAATATCTTACAAAAATTGGATCAAACATTGTGAGATAAATATCTCAATTAAGAGCAATATCCATGCTTCTTTTCACAATGCAGAGGGTTGTGGGAGAAGCAAACTGAGTGTTCAATAATACCCTAGTGAAGATCTGGCAAAGAGGTGAGAAAATGAATGGGTGCAAAACAGGAAAGCAAAGAACCAAGAAAAATACCCTCACAGCAAACCTGGGTAAACAAAAGGGCTTGCAAGTACAAGACAGATATTAAGGCTGCCCCTGGCAAAGGTACAATTCTGAATTCCAGCTTCTGATGCCTGCCTGGGTTATAGAAGTAGCTTCAAGTTTCTGTAAAAATACTTTGGTTGCACATAGAAACCTGTTGGGGTGCAGGAACTGCAGGGGGTCCCCTGCAGAGCCCCCAGGCCTCCTGTTACCTGCAGGGGCTGCACAGCAGGGTGGGGGCTACGGACACTGGAGGCGTATTTGTAGGGAGGAACCGCTCGGGGCGTGGGGGCAGCCACGGGCGGACGTGGAGCCAAAGCCTGTGCTGCAGAACCAACACCTGCAAGAGAGGAGGGGAAGGGAATCAAACACCTGCACCAACAGCCAGGCTGGGATGTCTGATGGTAACCGCTGAATTCAGAACACTGGGACAGGCTGCCCAGAGAGATTGTGGAGTCTCCTTTGCTGGAGACATTCCAAACCCGCCTGGACAGGTTCCTGTGGGATCTGTTCTAGGTGACCCTGCTCTGGCAGGGGGGATTGGACTAGATGATCTTTCAAGGTCCCTTCCAACCCCTAAGATTCTGTGATTCTGTGAATTCAGGCCATGCACAGTCTGATACTTCAGAGACTGGTGTCTCCAAAACCCAACTGGCTACCTGAGAAAGGAGCTATTCTACCAAAACCTAAAGCATGGATTCTGGATCTTGCGTTTAAGGTATTTTCTAGATACTCACTGGAATAAAATTAATTTGGATGCTCTACTCTGAACACAATATCCATAATCACCCATCCCTGGAAGTGTTCAAGGGCAGGTTGGATGGGGCTCTGAGTAACCTGATCTGGTGGGGTATCCCTGCCCATGCAGGGGGTTAGATCTAGATGATCTATAAGGTCCCTTCCAACCCAAACCATTCCATGAATCTGTGATAAGTAGAGAGCCTTTTTTTTTAAGTGGTAAATGATGCAGAGATGAGTCCCAAACCAGTGCAAAACAACCCATCTGGATTTCCACTGCTGTGCTGATGCACCAACCATGCCTAGACCTGCACCACACAGCAAGGAAACAAGGAAAAGATTCGGGTGCTGTCTCTGCCCCTTGCTCCAGGTGACCTTTGATTATCCACATCCAACAAGCAGATTTTTGGAAGTGGAATTGAAATCTCAGTATCATCCTCCTCCCTCCCAGCCAAGGGGAAGAGCCTGGGATGCAGACACCTTACCCACTCGCTGGACAGCAGCAGGGAGGCCACGAGAGGCCGGGGCACTGCTGGCAGGGGCCAGATGGCGCAGCGCCGGCCGCGGCCCCGACTGGCGCATGGCATTTGGCATCCCCTGGAATCCTAAGGGAGGAAATGAGGGGAAGTCCTCAGAACTGCCTGGCAAGTCAGGACAGTCAGCTACAGGAAGCTCCAGGAAAGCTGGGGAGGGACTTGGGACAAAGGCAGGGAGGGAGAGGACAAGGGGGGATGGATGAAAACTGGAGGAAGGGAGATTGAGGTTGGACATGAGGAGGAAATTCTGGAGTGTGAGGGTGCTGAGACCCTGGCCCAAGTTGCCCAGGGAACCATTCCATGATTCTATGACAGTCCAGCCAAGAGAGGCATACAACCAAAATACTGACTCTATCATGCTCACCTTGAGGTCTTCCCCCCTGCTGCCAGCGTGGGTTGGGTCTCATCTGTGTCATTTGGTTTGGTGCATAGTAAGTGGGTCTGCTCTGAGCCTGAAGAAAGAACAGACAGGCTCAGAGGCAACTTCTAAGTGAATAACAATCGCTGTTTACATGTTTGAGCAGTTGTTGCCAGGACTCAACACTCAATTCACATAAAGAGAACAGGCAGCTGGGAAGTCACACAGTTAACCCCACTGCCTGACCCCTCACAACAAGGGCAGGGAGGGAGAGGACAAGGGGGGATGGATGAAAACTGGAGGAAGGGAGATTGAGGTTGGACATGAGGAGGAAATTCTGGAGTGTGAGGGTGCTGAGACCCTGGCCCAAGTTGCCCAGGGAACCATTCCATGATTCTATGACAGTATAGCCAAGAGAGGCATACAACCAAAATCTTGACTCTATCATGCTCACCTTGAGGTCTTCCCCCCTGCTGCCAGCGTGGGTTGGGTCTCATCTGTGTCATTTGGTTTGGTGCATAGTAAGTGGGTCTGCTCTGAGCCTGAAGAAAGAACAGACAGGCTCAGAGGCAACTTCTAAGTGAATAACAATCGCTGTTTACATGTTTGAGCAGTTGTTGCCAGGACTCAACACTCAATTCACATAAAGAGAACAGGCAGCTAGGAAGTCACACAATTAACCCCACTACCTGACCCCTCACGAGGAGTTATTTGCTTACAGGCCTAAGAATGGCTCAAGGAGATTACTGCAGCTGAACCATCAAAGCTCCAGGCCAGGTTAAAAAAAACCCAACACACTAGCTCAGCTCACCTGGGGCACAGCAGGCATGAAATACCCCCCAGCAGCAGGCTGGAACTGATTAATGATGGTGTTGGCTGGCAGGGCTCTCATCCCAGCGATGCGCTGCATGTACTGGTTGGTGAGATGGGCTTTTCTCTCCTCCTTCCTCTGGGCCAGGGCCACGTACAAGGGCTTGGAGCCCACGATCCGCCCGTTCATCTCTGTCACTGCTTTCGTAGCTTCCTCTGGAGAGGAAAAGCAGACAAAGCCAAACCCTTTGCTCCGGCCATCTTCCAGCATCACCTGCAGTAAAGATCAGTTGCTAGTGCAGTGCCACGACAGGAAATTAGCCTAAGAATCTGTATTTATTTCAATGTCACACTTCAGGCAGGGAGGACATGACTGTTGCAGAGGTGTAGGGACAGGTGCTCAATGGGTGGAGTCACCTGTCTGGATTTACTCTGCTTTTTTCTAAGCACCATGTATCCCCACACCCACACAGCACAGTCAGGAATGGGTAAGTTTTGGTGCAGCCTCTAAATGCATGTAGGGAGATGCCATTTCATCAGGAGTCACCTCAAACAAGCCTGTGTGCCACCTCCCACCTCCTCTTTTCATAAGGGAACAAAGCAAGTTTTCAGTAAAATCCCACCAAGACCCAAAGAAATCTGTATTTACTAGTCCAGATGTTCTCAGAACCACAATGACCAGGGGATACAAGAACTACCCTTCAATCCCACGTTGGTAACAGTTCCTTCTTCAGGCTTTAAAATCCAAAAATCCCCAAACCCCACGATACCTTGGCGCTCGTTATTGACCCAAAAGGTGAGAACTCCTTCCTCAGTTTTTCATCATCTATAGTGTCATCTAGGTTTTTAATGTACAGGTTAACACCCTAAAAAGGACAGAACAATAAGACATTCAGAAAACTAAAGAAAATCTTGAGCACTTCAACTGTGAGCATCCACCTGCCAGAGCTGTAATTTGCTCTTAATTAAGCATAATGTTCCTTTCATACAACCCAAAGCTGAAGGCAATTAAGTGTTGCAAAGGTGTAGAGACCAGTCCCACTGTGGTGCAAGGGAGCTTGTCTGGACTCCCTCTGCTTTCCATCATTGCTCCCCAGTCCAGCATAAGGACTGGGTAAGATTCAGACGCCATCTCTAACATGACCCAGTTTTGCCATTAATTACCAAGACAACAGCATAGATTATATGCTGTCTCTTTCCATCCCTCTAGGTATTCCCACTGAAAACAAAGGAGCTGGAATTACTATTCTGATGTCCTTAAAGCCATTTGGTTGCCAAGACTATGCCCTGATGCCCCCTCTGCTCTCAAATACCACAGATTTGCCTTTACATTTTAACTCCCAGAACATCTCACAGGACAACAACTGATGACTTTGTCAATGCCTTTCAAGCTGCCCAACAGACTGAAAATGGTGTTTAAATACAGAAGAAAACCAGACTATTCACCTGGTATCGGCTGAGCCTCTCTTGTTTCAGCTGCTCAAACTTCCTTTTCAGCTCAGCCTGGCGCTCCACCTTCTTCTGTGCTCGACCAACAAACACCAGCTTCCCATTGATATCCTTCCCATTCATTTCTTCTACTGCCTGGACAGAGGGTTCAAGAGGAAACTGTCAGCTGTTGGAACAAGACAGCACCTGATCCTGTTCAGAACAGGACTGGCCAATGCTCACCCTGCCTGTCAGCCAAGGTGGCCCTTGCACTGCTCTGAGTAACAGGCTAATTGAAGAGAAATTGAAGTTCTCAGACCACACTGACCCCACCACTCCTAATGCTGGACTAACAAGAACTTGTGAATTTATCCCCAGTCCTTCTTGCAATTACACCAAGTTTTCACAAACATTCTGCTTAGAGAAGGCCACAGAATCATAGAATGGTGAAGGTTGGAAGGGACCTTAAAAGATCATCACATTCCAACCTCCCTGCCATGGGCAGGGACACCTCCCATCAGACCAGGCTGCACAAGCCTCATCCAACCTGGCCTTGAACACCTCCAAGGATGGGGCACCCACAACATCTCTGGGCAACCTATTCCAGCACCTCACTACCCTCATGGTGAAGAATTTCCTCCAGATGTCTAACCTGAATCTCCCCTCTTTCAGTTTAAAACCATCACCCCTTGCCCTACCACCACTAAACAATGTGCTCACTCTACACATCTTTCTCCTCCTGAAGCTCTGCAATATAGTACTTCTTCAGCAATTAACATTCTTGATTACACCACTGCACTTTGTGTGGATCTAGTAGTCCAGAGAAATGCCAGGTTACCCTTGAATGCCAAGCTAGGAACATGCAAAATATTTCTAAGTCCCTACATCTAGAAAAGTTTATACCTGAGGCAGAATTTGCTCTCATAATTAATAACAGGCTTCTACAATAAACCAAGGAAGTTTTCTTCTCTGGAGATACCCAACCAACATAAAAAATGGTCTTACCTTGTTAGCATCTTCATGCTTTTCAAAGCTTACAAAGCCAAAGCCTTTGGATTTTCCAGTGGGGTCTGTCATCACTTTCACACTCAGAGTTTTACCTGTTACCAAGGGACAGGGTTAGTAAAATATCACTGAATACTGTGAGACTATTAAACTCCCTGTAACAGACTCAGCCTTCTCTCTCTCTTATCTGGTCAGACCCTGGTCCAACATTTGGCACAGCTGCTTCCCACACCTCAACTCTGTGTGCTCCTCAGCCCCACAGTGATCCACACAGAGCTATTCAGATGATACCAGCACTGTGAAACTACCACAGGTCATGACATTTACTCATTAAAAATATTTCTCTATTTACCATATTTGCTGAAGAGCTCCTTTAGCCTTTCATCATCCATGTCATCCCCAAAGTTTTTAATATAAACATTGGTGAACTCCTTTGCCTTGGCTCCCAGCTCAGCCTCCCGCTCCTTACGAGACTTGAATCTCCCAACAAACCTGTCAGAAAAAACAAACATCCCAATAAGCAGCTTGTCCTCCAGAATGGAAAAACCAACAAACACCAGCTTCCCATTGATATCCTTCCCATTCATTTCTTCTACTGCCTGGACAGAGGGTTCAAGAGGAAACTGTCAGCTGTTGGAACAAGACAGCACCTGATCCTGTTCAGAACAGGACTGGCCAATGCTCACCCTGCCTGTCAGCCAAGGTGGCCCTTGCACTGCTCTGAGTAACAGGCTAATTGAAGAGAAATTGAAGTTCTCAGACCACACTGACCCCACCACTCCTAATGCTGGACTAACAAGAACTTGTGAATTTATCCCCAGTCCTTCTTGCAATTACACCAAGTTTTCACAAACATTCTGCTTAGAGAAGGCCACAGAATCATAGAATGGTGAAGGTTGGAAGGGACCTTAAAAGATCATCACATTCCAACCTCCCTGCCATGGGCAGGGACACCTCCCATCAGACCAGGCTGCACAAGCCTCATCCAACCTGGCCTTGAACACCTCCAAGGATGGGGCACCCACAACATCTCTGGGCAACCTATTCCAGCACCTCACTACCCTCATGGTGAAGAATTTCCTCCAGATGTCTAATCTGAATCTCCCCTCTTTCAGTTTAAAACCATCACCCCTTGCCCTACCACCACTAAACAATGTGCTCACTCTACACATCTTTCTCCTCCTGAAGCTCTGCAATATAGTACTTCTTCAGCAATTAACATTCTTGATTACACCACTGCACTTTGTGTGGATCTAGTAGTCCAGAGAAATGCCAGGTTACCCTTGAATGCCAAGCTAGGAACATGCAAAATATTTCTAAGTCCCTACATCTAGAAAAGTTTATACCTGAGGCAGAATTTGCTCTCATAATTAATAACAGGCTCCTACAATAAACCAAGGAAGTTTTCTTCTCTGGAGATACCCAACCAACATAAAAAATGGTCTTACCTTGTTAGCATCTTCATGCTTTTCAAAGCTTACAAAGCCAAAGCCTTTGGATTTTCCAGTGGGGTCTGTCATCACTTTCACACTCAGAGTTTTACCTGTTACCAAGGGACAGGGTTAGTAAAATATCACTGAATACTGTGAGACTATTAAACTCCCTGTAACAGACTCAGCCTTCTCTCTCTTATCTGGTCAGACCCCGGTCCAACATTTGGCACAGCTGCTTCCCACACCTCAACTCTGTGTGCTCCTCAGCCCCACAGTGATCCACACAGAGCTATACAGATGATACCAGCACTGTGAAACTACCACAGGTCATGACATTTACTCATTAAAAGTATTTCTCTATTTACCATATTTGCTGAAGAGCTCCTTTAGCCTTTCATCATCCATGTCATCCCCAAAGTTTTTAATATAAACATTGGTGAACTCCTTTGCCTTGGCTCCCAGCTCAGCCTCCCGCTCCTTACGAGACTTGAATCTCCCAACAAACCTGTCAGAAAAAACAAACATCCCAATAAGCAGCTTGTCCTCCAGAATGGAAAAAAACAAACGTGTGATCTGCTGCAAGGCAAAAAATGAGTGTGTAGTAGGAGCTGGGAATGGGGACAAGAAAGGGTGACAGGAGAAGGACAAATAGGCCACAGACCAACCACAAAAATCACCTGTTCTATGGCAGAGTTGGACAAGGATGCCCCAGGAGAGAGAACTGGCCACAGAAACCCACCCCAGCCCACTAGAGGAGAGGTGACAAATCAAGGCTTGGTTAGGGAACCCCACCAGCCCTGTAATGGAGGAGGAGCAGGCCATGGCTTGGGCAGGGTCACTCACCAGCCCTGGAGTGGAGAGGTAGCAGGCCAAGGCTTGGGCCAGGAGAACCAGTGCCTTGTGTGTCCCTGTTAATACCCAGCTGCATCACGGTTCATGCGCTCGCTGCTGCTGCTGGCTGTGACACTCACACTTTGCGGTCGTTGAGCAGCATGCCGTTCATCTTCTCGATGGCCCTATCAGCTGCCTCCTGGGTCTCAAAGTGCACAAAAGCGTAGCCCTTAGAGCCATTCTCATCGCACACCACCTGGACATGTGGAAGGAGGACAACAGGTCAGCTCTCTCAACATCTGCTCCCCTGTCATGCTGAGAGACAAGGTCAGCACATCAAAATAGGGTCCTGCCAAGGTCAACACTAGGAAGATCACAGAATCATGGAATAGTCTGGGTTGGAAGGGACCTTAAAGATCATCCAGTCCCACCCCCCTGCATGGGCAGGGACACCTCCCACCAGCCCAGGTTGCTCCAAGCCCCATCCAACCTGCCCTTCAACACTGCCAGGGATGGGGCAGCCACAGCTTCCCTGGGCAACCTGGGCCAGGCTCTCACCACCCTCACACTAGAAAATTTCTTCCTCATGTCCAACCTCCATCTACACTCTTCCAACTTAAAACAATCACCCCTCAACCTCTCACTCCCTGCCCTTGTCCAAAGTTCCTCCCCAGCTTTCCTGGAGCCCCTTCAGGCACTGGAAGGTGCTCTAAGGTCTCCCTGTAGCCTTCTCTTCTTCAGGCTGAACACCCCAACTCTCCCAGCCTCTCTCCAGAGCAGAGCTGCTCCAGCCCTTCAGTCATCTTGATGGCCCTTCTCTAGACCCTCTCCAACAGCTCCATGTCCTCCCTGTGCTGAGGGCTCCAGAGCTGGACACAGTTCTCCAGGTGGGGTCACACAAGAGCAGAGGGGCAAAGATGTAATCTGTCTTTCAGATTTTCACAATTGGTGACCAAATCTGATGTTACTTCAGCAATCCCTGACCCCTTGGCCATCTCTGCCTCCACTCCTCCCCTGGACTTGAAAGTCCCTTTCCCTTCCTACATTGCATGTGTCTGATCATGTCACCATTGTAACAGAACTGGACAAAGTAACCACATCTCACCTTGCAGGACAAAATATTCCCAAACGCTGAGAATGTGTCATAAAGTGCCTTGTTATCAATGGATTTGTCCAGGTTCTTAATGAAGACATTCCCAACTCCTGACTTCCTCAAGGAGGGGTCCCTCTGAGACCACATGATGCGAATGGGTTTTCCTTTGATCACATCAAAATTCATGGTATCTAGAGCACGCTCAGCTGCAAGAGAACAGATTCCCATGGGTTGGTAAAGAATAAAGGTTTCCATCTCGTGGGTGATGATTTTCTCTGAACTCAGCTCAAGGAAACATTTGGGGCAATATCACAGGGAACCAATTTCAGTGACTTTTTAATTTCCTGTTTCAAGGGAGGTCTTTGCAGCACAGTGATTGGACTTGTATATTTAGCAGTCTATTATACATTCACAGTATGGTGATGTTTTAACAACCACAGCAAAACGAATGTCAAAATATCAGGGGTTTATTAGTTACAATTTTAATGATTGTAAAGGTAAATTGCTTCACCCAAAGAAGGAAAATACAAGGAGAAAAAAAGGGAAGTAACAAAGGTGACAGTTTGGTTTGCTGGCTTTCCTGAAGCTCATATCTACCCATACTCATTTCTATTAAGAGAAGATCATCTCCCTGTTAGGTCAGGGAAAACGTGCCCAAACACATGGCTGGCTGGGAAGAAGACATGAGTCAGCTTCTATAACCTGGGTGGCCAAAAAATTATTCCCAAGTTGTTAAATCTAAAGACAAGAACACAAGTGGACAAAATTCTGGAGAAAAAAAAATACCTGTATAGCCAGTGTGATTAACAGGGAAGTGTTTATCTACATTCTAGAAGCCCAGCACTGTAATTCCAACCTACACTGAAACCCCCCTCCACAATTCTATTTCTGCCACCTACTGCTATATTAAAAGGATCATTACGTACACACATCAGGATCTTGTTCATAAAACTGAGATGCTTGGGACTCTTCTGTGCCAGAAAAACACTCCCAGCATGGAGTGAGCAGAGAAAAAGACAGACTGTTAATTCTCAGCGTGAAGCAGAAAAAGAAAGGGATAGACAGGCATTGAAACCAAGGAATATGAACAGGCCAGAACCCAGGTTTTCCAAATGTGTTAATCTCAATCCTTCCAGGCCACCTTTATGCCATAATATTTGCTAATTAGATTTCAGGAGCAGCAAATTCAAGGAAAATGCTGATTTGGAGCACCTTCTCCTTTCATGTGACTGCTAGTGCAGCCACTTAGCATTTCATAAAACTACAGAATCCTAGAATATCTTGGGTTGGAAGGGACCTCTAAAGGTCATTAGTCCAACCCTCTACAATAAGCAGGGACATCAACTAGAAATGTCTCTAGAAACTCCAGTGAGACAGTGCCTGCAGAAGTCTCCTGCACCCCCAATCCACCCCACAGAAGTTTCTCAGAATTTTTCACCTGCTTTGAAATGTTTTCTGTTACTGCTTTTTAAATTGAAGTGGTGCTTTTTTCCCCAGTCCTTCACACATACTCCCAGCTGGAAAACAGACCCTGGTGGATTCATTCCTAAGTAGCCAGGCTTGCAAAAAAAAAAACAAAGACAGTAATACAGGGAGGAAAGTTACACTTGTACAACTCCACTAGCTGCTCTATTTAGTCAAAGGTGTTAAATGTAATGAAGTGCCATGCTAAAGTGATTCCTCAGCTGCTGCTCTGAATCCATGCAACTGAGGTCCTTCCTGCAGTCCATTCCTAGTAGGCACTTCAGCAGGCAACTTGGCCCAGCTTGTCAAATTTGGCAGTGTTTATTTATAGCAGGGAGAGGTATGAAGAAGTATGTGTTGGCAAGGACACACTGGTTGTATCTACCATCTGCAGCAGAGACAGGGCTCCTGCTTAAAGGTGACAGGCAGATGAAGCAGTGGCATGCAAGCAGAGGGGACTGTGAAACACCCTGCAGCAGCTTCCAAGAGACAGACCAGTTATGAAGTTACTCCCAGTTCTTTCAAGGTTTCTAAGCTTCAGCAGATGATACTGCACTGCTTCTTCCCTAGCTTGCAAGTGTTCCACTCTATTATTATACTCTGCTGGAAGTTCACTCAGACACTTCTTGTCAGCAGTGGTCTAAGAAAGGCCTAGATGAATTCCTGCTTTCAGGGAGCTCTGCCATTCCCACAGGTGGAAATACAATCACATTACACTAGTACCTAAGAAAACCTGTGAAGGATCAGCATGAGTTATGTGAGTGACTCAGACCAAGCACATCTGATTCATTTCCTTAATCTGAGCAAACACCTTCTCATTTTCTTCTATTTAAGACACAAAGCTCCAGCCATTTCAGTTCCTGTATCTCTTTCTCTCCCACTGATTCCTGTCATCCTTCCAGTAGACTCAACTGCAACTCATATATAGCATTATATACATTCTTAACCCCTTTCAGCCTTCCTTTTCATTCCTCTTCCTTAGCCTTCTGGATAGGGAAAGCACATGAACACTCCTTGCAAGCTTGCCTTGGGCCTCCAAGTAATTAATTTCCCCTCCAGGCTCCCTGATGCAGAGTTAACACAATGCTGGAATTAGCCACTGTGGTTGAACAGTATAAAGAGCTAAACACACACACCAAGACTCACCCATGAGAAACTCTGCACAAGTTACATTCTGCAAAGATAACTGCTCTGCAAACCCTGTCAGGCCACTAAGCAAGAGACCTGACAACAGCATACAGCACAAATTTAACCCTATATTTTACAAAAGGCGAGGTTGTCTATGGAACAAACTTAAACCCCTTGTCTGCTGAATTAGAACAAAAAGGTGCTGGCAATAAGGCATATGTAAGGAACCACTCTTCCCTTTTAGCTTCACACCTTTGTATTACCCAGGGCTTTCTTATTTTGCCTTCTCTTCTTTAAGGAAAAGACAAGAAGTTTATCATCTCCTACACCTTTCCTCACAGACACTTGTCCCAGCTCTGTGCTCCTCCTTGGCTTGGGAAATATTCTGTTTTCTATGCACTTCCAGAACAGCTTAACTCTACAGCCACATTCAAGTTTCTCTGCTTCATTATCTGAGCTGTCCTGTCATGACTGTTGTCAATGTTATGAAATCCTGGAATGCAATTAAATTCTGTGAGGAACACATGAAAAAGGAAATTCAGCTTTTCTTTCAAAAAGAATAAATATTAACAACCACAGCTGAGCCTGAACTAGCCAGAACTTTGAAGCATTTCCTTAATCTGTCTATCAGAGTATGACAGATTCAGTGTTCAGCATCCACTCAGGAACTGCCATCAAAACTAGCAGACCTTATTTTCACTAAAAATAACCTCTCTGCAGCAGACTCCCAGTGAAAAAATGTCCAGAAAGTAACCCCCTCCAGGATAAGGTATCACTGCACCAGCTAATAAAAATATAAGGAACAAAACACAAGCTTTAAACCTATTTGGACACAGGAACCAGGTAAGTACAGTCAGGATGTGACAGTGTGAGCTCCTGGTGGCCCCATGTAATGGGGAAGAGTTCACAGAATCATGGAATGGTTTGGGTTGGAAAGAACCTAGAGATCATCTAGATCCAAATCCCCTGGCTACTTGGCTTGCTCTGTGGTCTCTTTCTGATCATACTGACAGTCTTATTTCCCACATAAAAAAGTTAAAATAATTGTTTTATTCAGATTTATGAATCCACAAATGTGTCAGGGATATGCAGACTATCATGTATCAACTCTCTAATACTTACTACCATGTCAAACATACTAACAATGTCCCCACAAGAACCTCCCTAAAAGTTTCCAGAACACATCCTGGTTTCTTTTACAGGGTATTTTTTAGCATCTACTCTCACTCATAAATCAAAACAGATCCCTACAGAACACCCCTCACCTCTGATTTAGTAAAATGAGGTCCAAATGCATGTTAGATTATATATTCCTGGAAGAAAATACAGACCCTTCCTTCTCAGAAAGCCCTCACACCCTGAAAACAAAAGCCAAATTTCTGTATTTGACCATAAAAATTATATTCTTCATATTCAGGTCTTTGTTTCAGAGAGACTGCAACACATCATCAATGGGGTCATCTTTCCAAAATTATCTGTTTATGTTCTGCTGTATTACATTTAGCACAGCAGCTGCTTTTTTAATTATGCAGAGTAACACGTGCTACAGTTTGCCAGAAATTAGAAGCATTTCAGAAGTGATCTCTTCACGAGGGGAAAAGGAGTTTGAATATTCCTCCTTCAAGATATTAACTCAATGATTCGGTTTAAACCACTTGACCTTCTAAGATCTACCAGTAACAAGACACCACTCACTTAGGCAAAGTATCACTTGAAGCACTAGGACTTCCTAACACGTCTGCTGCTCCACCAGGAGCTCAGAATGATGCCACCTCCCTCTCAGTTCCTGCCTATTTATTACCTTAAAGGATTACCTTGAAATACACTGGAAGGCACCTGGCTTCATATTTGTACCAGAAGCAGAACTTTCCTGCTGAAGCACATGTGATGAGCCACTCCTTCCTTTTAACATAACTACATGTATTCTACAGGACTTCCCCTTCTTTAAGAGAGTTTATCCAGAGTCTTTTGTACCCACCTCCCCAAAATTTATCTAATCCAAGCTCTGAGTTCCTTCTTGGCTTTATTTCAGCTGCTTGTTTTTATTTCTCTTATCCTGCAAAATGAGAACAGAGCCTGCAAAGGCAGGTGGGCCTGGGGAACTGCACCTCTTTTTGTGCAGCACACGAACACAGCAGGGTGGTTTGGTAAGAGTCAGAACAGGTGGGTTTATCAAAGCACAAGAGGACCACAAACACAGGCTCTCAAGTTCTGTCTTTCTCACCAAGAAGTTTTAAAACACAGAAACACACTGCTTAGCCTGCATAAAAAACTCTTCTGAGAGTTTCATGAATAAGAAATTATGCACTGGGGTGCAAGGCAGTGTTTTATCAGCCTGGCAAGAGAAAGGATCAGAAGTCCTCCATCAGATCAGGCAGCATCCCCAGGAGAGCACATGCTGAAGGCTCTCTGACCTGGGAGAGGAGGGAAGCTGGGATGGAACACAGTCCCAGGAATGTAAAATCCAAACTTTCCAGCCAAGAGCTCAATCCCAGAGGCTCTGCTAACTTGCAGGAATACAAGTTGTAATCACATTTTGCTTTTTACACAACACATCCTTTGATCCAAAGTGCATTGTGCAACAGACCTCTCTGCTGCCTGTAAGAATGCAAAGCAGGATAACCTACTACAGCCTAAAGGAAAGTTTTCTGGCTTTTGAAGTCTGTGAATTGACTGAATTCAAAGGAAATGTTTGTTCTCATCTATCTTTTGGATGTCCCTATTGCATAGAGATACTGCTAAATCACAGCACAGAGCAATAAACTTACACCAGCCAACAAGCAAAGGCTCTGAAAACTAGGGCAGAAAATGCTGACCTATTTCTTCTAGAAAAAGACATGTTGCAGAATGACCTCTCCTGTCCCATCTTTCACATGCCACTGCTGTTTCAGCTCTGGAATACCTACTTGAGCAGGAGCCAAATTAAAGTATGGGGAAAAAAAAGCCTGGCAAGAGCACCTGAGGAAAACCTTTGTTTCCTCATGCACTGAGCAACTCACCTTCTTTCCTATTACTACAAAAATACCACTTCCCAGACTAGGAGACCCATCCAGCTGCCTGCCCAGACACAGCCACCTGCAGCCCACCAAACCTCCCAAATATTCATCTGGAATGGCTGGGCAGCCAGAGCCTCATCCTGAGCATTCAAACAGGGCTATCCTGATTCTGTTTTCTCTCAGGACTGACTGCATGAAGGCCCACACGAACAGCCCCAAGCTACAGGAGAATAAAGAGGAACACAGAACCACCTTGGCTGGAAAAGGCCTTAAAGATAATCAAGGCCAAGCACTGAGTGAAGTTTATTCTCAGTGAATTAACACAGTGAAGATTATTCTCTTATGTGAGCAGGAACAAAGCCAAGACTCCAAAGTTTAATACCAAGAAGCATGGAGAGAAAAAGATGTCACAAAGATGTGCATTTGGAGACAAAAAGATGTCACCAAGATGTGTATTTGGAGACAATTTTGGAGGCAATAAGCAGGAAAAAAAAATATTCCAGGTTCAGTCACTAACAAGTGATTACTTACCCTGCAACTGTACAATTTTGGTAAGCAGCTACACAGCAATACACAGGAACAACCAATGTGGATTAGTGGGGGGGAAAAAGTTAATACAGGTGAAAAAACGGTTGCAGATGTTGCTGTACAAGTCACTTACCATCTGCTGGCTGCTGGAAGTTGACGTAGGCATAGCCCAGGGAGCGGCGGGTGATCATGTCCCTGCAGACCCGAATGGAGAGGACGGGCCCGGCGGGGCTGAACTTCTCGTAGAGCATGGCCTCGGTGACATCGGGGTGCAGGTCCCCCACGTACAGCGAGGCCATGGGGTAGGTGCTGGCAGCTCTGTTCATCTCCTGCCCGGCACGTGTTCCCGGCGGGAACCGCCGCGGGTTGGTGCTCGGGGGTTCAAATCAAGCGTTTGGTAAAAGTTTTAACTGCGGGGCTGGGGGGGGGGGGAAACCCCTCAAAGTCTTATTTAAAAGCCTAAGAAGGGGCCGGTGGGATTTGGGAGAAGGGGGCAGCCCAGGCCCCCGGACGGAGCGTGGCTGAGGGGGGAGAGAGGCCTGGAAATGGGCAAAAAAACCCGAAGTTCAGGCCTCAGGAGAGGGCCTGGAAACGAAGCCAAAACTCACCCACCGACCCCCGCCGGGCCTGG